GACAACAGGAATCAAGACAAGAAGAAAATTGTAAACAGAGAAAGGAGTTGGCAAAGCGTGAAGAAAAACAACAAAAATTGGACACAAGAGGCACTTAGTTTTTGAAAAGAAGATAAAAGGAGAAAAAATGTAAGCATAGAAAAATACGAAAAAAGCCTGTAAAAGATTCAAAATCAAGTGAATTTCATTAAACTATTTAAAAAAAATACAAAATCTCAGTCGTCACTATACCCCACCCCCTCCCCCCAAATCACACACACATGCTCACAGCGTGATTAGAGCCTCGAGCCTCTTGACTGCGAGTCTTACAGGACAAAATAAAAGAAATGTCACGAATTCCGATATGATGAAGGCTGTGACTTCTTTTGTATTTTACGGTTCTGGTCGTTTTCAGGATAATCGTGAGCAATCAATACCATTAACACCCTGACCGTCACCAAGAAACAAAGAAGTAATACTCAAATGATTGACAAATGAACAATGAAGGCATTGATTTATAAAGTGCTAGATTCTTTGAGGCTTGCTTCTTTTCTTGTCGTGAGAAAGAATACTGATTATATGAAAGAAAAAAATGATGATTGAGGGAATGACATGACTAAAACACACGGACCCTTTTTTCTCCAAAGAAGAAACAAACCGTCCACGGGTTTCTACTGTATTCACGCAAATATGACGTCATGTATTTGATTACATTGGTCGTTGTGTAAGCACGTGTTATTCCCTCAGGTAAACGTTTTATTCTAGGCTTGAAAACACTTATTCAAACTGAAATAAAGGAGAAAAAAATTAATGCGCATAATTTACTAGTATCAAACGGTTCGTCTGTTCTGTTTTGCTTCAAGCAATAAAGCTCCTGTTATGCGCCTAAAACTTTTTGCTAAAACTTGTTTTCAAAGTCGTTGCGAGACAAGATTCACGGGGATGAATCACGACACAATCTCGTTCAAAAACTTCTTCGCGAAGTTTCGTTTGCCGGCACGAGTATATCTAGTGTGAGCAAGTTTAAGCTAAAAGTTTCAACGTGTGAAAGTATCTTAAACTGAAATCAGGCGCGCGAAGTGGCGAAGCCGCATGAGTTAATAAAGTTTTTAAATAACTTGAAGTGTAATAAAAAAATATTGGCGCTTTATGCGTCTTGAAATCTTTGTTTGTTCCTCTTTGTCTCTGGGTGTATTTTATTTTTGGTCGGGTGGAGTCTAGATATTAAAGGATATTTTTCAGCTGTTGTTTTATTTCTTTTATTTTTTATTTTTATGGGTCATGCAATAAATGTCACACAATAAAGGTTCGATGTTCTTTTATTATCAACTGCGTGATCTAAAGAATTGAAATGAAAGGATTATTTCTAACCCACGATTTTTTTTTTTTTTTGTTATGAAAATTTAAAAATCACGCCTTAAAAAACAGAAAATTAAGGGTCACGTGACTGATCACGTGACTAATTAACATAATGGTGTTTTTTGCCTAAAATAAGCGTTTTTTCGGGTTTTTATTCTCCGTAGGGTACGAATATAGTCATTTCTGGTCATTTTTCATGTTTTGGGTAAAAAATATTGCTCGAAAACCGTCGCATTTTCACCAAAAAATCAAGATTTTTGTGGGATCCCTGTGTAAAATGCTAGTTCCAGGCCCTTGAGTGACTTTGGATTCATTTCAAACTTGCTCCCTTCGTGGTTCGACGTGTGTCAATCTGTGGAAATATAAAGAGAAGTTTTTACAAGAACAAAAAAATTTTATTAGCTCGTGCTACATCTAACAAAGAGATAAGGACACGAGAACTATGAATGGTAAGAATTATTGTGTTTTTCTGCGTTATTCTGGCGTTTTTCCGTATTTTTAACCAGTTTGTAGATTTCGAAAGTTCGATTGACCGCCATGACACGTGTTGGTTTTAAAAGTAGTGATAAATGTCCATGGATAGGGTTACGATAATTTATTCATGCATTAGATATTCATATATTCCTGTTCCCATGGCAAATCACCGGAAACGGAAATGAAAGGGGTGATGGATCGCCCAAGGGGAAGCGGGGACGGGTGACGTAACGGGTGACGTAAGTAGGGGTTTCATTTTTTTTTTTTTTTTTTTTTTTTTTTTTGAAAGAGTATAAGGTCCCGCGAGCTGGGTTTGAACCAGCAACCTTCGGAACTACAGTCCGACGCTCTACACGTTGAGCTACCACAGGCACTTACTTTATAGGGGTGCTTAAAAAGGTAGTCAAGACTTTGGTTTGAGGTTAAGCGTTTTTAATAGGAGGGATAAGTATGACATTTACATGTACAGGTGTCACAGGAACAAACACAGGTATGACCATTAGAGGCCATCCATCGGTCACGACTTTCTTTGATGTATTGCTTGCGTCGTTCCTTGCGCTCTTCTGCTTTGCGCTTTTCTTCTTTTTGCTCGTACGTACGGAGGGCATCTTTGGAAACCTTGATTTTCCATTGAGCGTAAGCTTCGATGAGGCTGGACTCACCAGAGTGGATGTGAGGCCCTTGGGGGGGATTGACCATGGCAAAGGTATAGGTATTCCAGGCAGGGAGAAAGCCTATACGTCGTAGGATGCCATGATTGGTGACGAGGACTTTGCCAATGCCACGGCGGATGTCGTTGGCTATTTCCTTGGGAGTATCAGGGCTGTGGATGAGGTAGCGCTTGTGGGTTTCAGGATGGGTGAACCACTTGGCGTTTTCTTCTTCTTGAAGGGTAGGTCTGGTTTCTGCTTTGTGGAGGTCATTTCCATAAGCTTGAATGAGGCTGGCTGTGGTTTGTTCTTCTTCTTGGGAGGCAGGCTTGGCTTCTTTGGAAGCCTTAATCTGAGCCTTAAATTGAGCGTAAGCTCGAATAAGGCTAGTTGATGATTGTGCCTAAGGAAGGAAAAAAAAAGATTTTTTCTAAAAAAGTAAAAAAAGAAAAGCTCCCTTGCGAGGAATCGAACCTCGATCTCCAGCCAGCTAGGCCRGTATCATACCATTAGACCACGAGGGCTGCTATGAAATAGAGAAGTTAAATTAAGGTAGTCTAGGGTAGGGATCCGGAAGTAATTAGCATATGTGCTTTTTTTTCTTGCAAAAAAAAAGTTATGGCGTTCTGGAGGCTCGAACCGCAGCTGGCGCATTGTTACTTACCCGACTACCAAGACGAAGCGCGATGGACAGGCTGAGCTATGCAGAACGCTCATGCGAGTGAGAGAGGAAAAAACTCGAGTCATAGGTGTGTTGAAAGGTTTTTATTGGCCAATGAAAAAGCATTACATAAATTAACGAAACAAAATGTTTTTTAATTAGATAAGTCGTGTCGTCGGACGCGTTTGCCATTACGAAGAGTTTGGAAGGGTGTGGTACAGTTTCTACATTGGGGGAACCATCCAGGGAGGTAAGCGAGACATGCATCGCAGCGTTTGTAGCGGAGGACGTAACGAGCTAGGCCAGGGAGAGGACTGAGGTCGAGCGAGGTAAGGTAGCGACGCATGTGGGACTGGTAGTCGAGGGAGAACTTGACGTGGTTGAGAGGAGTGTGGGGAAGATGGATTCGTTGATGAAGTCGGACGAGGTGGAGCCGTTGTTTGTGGAGGAGGATGACGTGGAAGGTGTTGGCTTGAAATTCTTGGATGCACAAGCGTCTGGCCCATTGGACGGCAGCAGCGTCTCGGGTATGACGAATGAACGTTTTAAATAAGGTGTCCAAGCGAGTGACGCAGATTTGGTGTGGAGGTCCAGGGAGGGAGTAACAAGGACACGGCATGGGATAGTGATGACGGTGTTGATCCATGTAGCGAACGAGGCAGAGGGAATGACAGGCTTGGGCGGGGACGTGATCAGGCGGCGGATGCATGTACCTTCGAAGAGCGAATTGACGGCAGTTGAAGACGTGGTATTGACCCGTGTAATCGATGGTCCCTTCTTGACCCGAATAAGGGATGGGCTTGTGGCAGAGCAGGCACGGGGGAGGTTTGATGGTGTTGTGGAAATTGACGTGAGCGATGGGACGGATGTGGATGAGGTCGTGGACGTGACGCAAGAAGAGGAGCATGATGCGGGCCATGGTGGGTTGAGCCATTTCCCAGACGGGGTCACCGCTGTACACTTGGGAAAAGTGACCTTCGAGGTAGTTGACGAACAAGGAGCCAGGCCATTGAGGCAGCGCGTGAGGTGCACGACAGTAGGGACAGGTGTAGTTGAAGCCCGTGCTGAGGATCCACTGCATGAGGCACTCGGTGTGTATGGGTTGGGTGCAGCAGGAGGTCATGTTGGTGTCGGAGTAAAGTGTTTCGGTCGGGAGGTGTCGTTGGAGCGGATGATCAGGAAGAGGCGAGTAACAAACACAGCACTGTTAAGGAGCAAGAGTAGTTTCAAACATGAACAAGAGGGAGCAGTATTGGCAAATGTCTTCGTCAGGGTGAACGCGTTGACCGCAGGCGCCACAGGTGTGTGAGGAAAAGCAGTCAGGACAATAAGGAGGCAGTTCCCAAACGCGATGTCGTCGTTTGCGTCGTTTGCGTGTCATGGTAGTCACGTGGCCACAAGGAGGAACGTAGGTCTGTAATAGGAAAGGTGAGGTATTAAGAATCGCACCAGCCGCAACGACAGGGGGTGGAGTCTTTTTTCTTGTTGAAGATGGACAAGAAGTTGAGGAACAATTGGAAGGTGGGGCATGCATCCAGGGCGTCGGCCACGTCGGTGATGAGGTGTGAAGGAGTACGTTTTTGGAAGTCAGGAGGAAAGAAGAACTGGGGCTTGTTGTTGTTGTCCACTTCGGAGTCCTTGGCCGCTTCGTTGCATTGGAGACAGTCAGGATCTTGAGCCTCTTGACACGTACATACCAGATGAGAGAGGTCGTCTGGGGTGTCGGGGCGTGTGGTAGAGGCCTTCTAATGAGGGAAAAGGACAACGTGGAAATGCTTTTAGGAATGATGCTTTGGTAGCGCGTAATGTTTTTTTGGTGCTGACCCCCATGATGTATAGGCTAGGATTGTCCGTGTGCAAGTAGGGGGCCACGTAGACGTAGACGGACGTGTGGGCATTGAAGTGTGATAGGGAAAGGTCGCGATTGAGACCATCTACCAGGGGCAGGTAAGTGAAGATGATGTTGCTGATTTCGTCGTAGGGAAAAATGGGGGATGTAAGTGAAGATGATGTTGCTGATTTCGTCGTAGGGAAAAATGGGGGATGTAAGTGAAGATGATGTTGCTGATTTCGTCGTAGGGAAAAATGGGGGATGTAAGTGAAGATGATGTTGCTTTCGTCCTGGTACTCTCTCCACATGGCCGAAGCGAATAAGTAGTGGTTGATGGTGCCCGAGGTGGAAATTTGGGCACGGATGAATCCTGAGGGCGGATATTCGCGGGCCTCGTGGGCGATGAGTAGGTAGCGTAGGGGTGTGGAAGGAGTTTGCGTGAACTGGAAGTTGTGGAGACGCGTATAGGTAGAACTGAGGACGATGGGACCATAGGCATTGGGAAAGCGGTGGTGGCAGCTGTAATCTTGAGCATCTTCGAGGGCGATGGTGGTGGAGGGGATGATGGTAAAGGGGTGAGCTTGATGGTCGATGTCGTCCTGTGGAGGGGTGTCGTTGGCTTGGTAATCGTCGTCCTCGTCAGAGTCGAGGGGCAAGAGTTCCAGGGTGGTGAGGAAGGGTGGATCGGTGATGATGGGTCGGGTCCTGCACATGGGACACTGAGTGTTTTGATGAGTACGCCATTGGTCGAGGCAGTCGTAGTGAAATTGGTGTTTGCAACAAAGGGTCAGGACGGTGTTGGGACAGTTGGGGGGTATGTTGGAGAGGCAAATGGCGCAGACGACGGCGGTGGCTGCGGCGGCCTGACGAAAACATAAAGTGAAGTTCACAAGGTAAAGGCAAGGGTATTGAGCAAGAACATTCCGGTGAGAAAGTCCCCTCCGTCGAGTTGAGTGAATCTTTCGATGTCGACGCCGGAGACTCTGAGTTTGTTTTTGAGGCATCGTTCATAGCATTGCAGTTGGTGGAGGAGAGGGTGGGTATCGCTGCTGAGGCGGGTATGGAGTAACCAGAGTTTTTTGTCGTAGAGGAGGTCGTGAATGTTGTCAAGCAATTGGGTAAGTACTAGGGTTCTTCCAATGTGTTTGCGTAAGACGTTTGTGGCGGTGGTGGCGATTGCGGTCTGAAAGAATAGAGTTCGTTTAGGTTCTGAAGTTGCTTTTGAAGGAGTTCGTGGATGCCTTTCAAATCGCCTCGAAAGAGTTTCCACTTTTTTTCGAATGCGGTGACTAGTCGTTCTTGGCGACGGAAGAAGAGGTAGATGTCGCGGATGTCTTGTTTGTTTTGTTTGTAGCCGTTAGAGATGAAGTCGATGACGCGAYGAAGCGCTTCCTAGGGGTGGGCAAGAGCATGTGAAACATTGGAGCATAGGTATGGTAAGGTTTTCTGTAGGTTTCGTCATAGTACTGCTCGTAGCACGAACGAGGCAAGCGAAACATGACGTAGCTGTGAATGACGTAGTTGTAATCGTCTCGGTCGGCCACCCCGTCGGGGAATTGGTCGGGAGTGATGTAATCAGGACCCACGCATAAATTTTGGGTGCAATGAGTGCACATGATGCTAAAGTGGGTACGCTTCATTTCCAGGTAGTGCAGGACGCAGGCGCCATGAAGGGGATGATTGCAGCAGGGTGTCATGACGAAGGGTTCTGAAGTATTGCATTCGCAAGGCAAGATACAAATGGTACATACCTGGGTTTCGTCCTGACTGGTCTCGGCTTCGGGATCATCCTGATCCGCTTCGCGTTCTTCTTGTTCTACGTCCTCCCGCTTACGTTTAGGAGCAGAAGGTAAGGAAATATGGAAACGCCTAGATGAGAAATATGGTGACCCATCGAAAATCGCTGATGCTATCATAGATACCATACGCAAGGTAAGACCGATAAGAGATGGAGAGAGTAAGCGATTGATCGAATTTATTGATGTCATGGAAGATGGCTTCAGAGACCTTAAGAGACTTGACCTTGAAGTCGAAATGACAACTACTAGTTCTGTTAGTATAATCGAGAAAAAACTGCCTGCCAGTGTGAGAAAAAAATGGGCTAAGATGGTGACGGATGATGACAGTAAAGTGGAAAGAGTTAACAAGTTCCCTAGTTTGTTGCAGTTTTTACTAAGCCAGAAGAGAGCGATAGAATACGACGCAGCTGAATTACGTACAAGCAACACTTCATACAAATCAGCAGCCCATCATGTAGTAGCTCAAGAACAAGATACTCGCCAACCAGGAGAGAGACAACAGCGTTATTCTGATGGAAAGATTTCCCAGAAGTGCTTGTTACATGACAACGCGGATCACTGGACAGACGAATGTCGTATTTACTTATCTAAGCCGTACAGCGAGAAGAAAGATCTAATAAAGACGAAAAAAGCATG